GGGGAGGGGCTGAGGAGCAGTAGAAGTCACGTGACGACCCACCGAACACTGCGCCGCGACCCACTTTTGCGCTAGAGTGTATAATATATAGAACGCATCTCTGTCACTCAGCACAACCCTGTCTAAGGAAGGAGACCCGATTTCTCTCTCCTCTCTGGAAAGGGAAAACTTCCAGGTCTTGTCCCTCCTGTGAATGGACAGTGAAAGGAGAGGTAGCAGACTTGTTAACACATGAGCGCTGATGCACCACTGATTGGCTCCTTGTGCTGCTTCTCCATCTCCTAATCTGAGCTCTGCAAGTCAAATTTGGGCACGTGGTCCCGGCCACAGAGCTGCATTGACTTGTGTCTTATATCCACCCGGCGCTCAGTTTTAAAAGAGGAAAAATCTTTCATACGTTATTGGGAAACGAGTGTAGAAATCGCGGTTTGGATTAGGAGACGTACTTCACTTCTTTCTGAGGAGTTCCAAATTTATTCTTTTTGCACTGAACTTGTCCATGGTAGAGTCCAATCAGAGCTTTGGATTCGCTGGTCACCCCCAGCTCACCAAATTTCTGCAAGAAAGGAGGAGAGAGAAGGTGAGAGAAAGCAACCCACACACCCAAACAGATGGGCTAGATGACAGAACTAATTCTCTGCGCTGAGAGAGAGGACAGGACAAGGACCAGTCAGCGCACAGCTATACGGGGACAAGGACCAGTCAGCGCACAGCTATACGAGGACAAGGACCAGTCAGCGCACAGCTATACGAGGACAAGGACCAGACAGCGCACAGCTATACGGGGACAAGGACCAGTCAGCGCACAGCTATACGAGGACAAGGACCAGTCAGCGCACGGCTATACGGGGACAAGGACCAGTCAGCGCACAGCTATACGAGGACAAGGACCAGTCAGCGCACGGCTATACGGGGACAAGGACCAGGCAGCGCACAGCTATACGAGGACAAGGACCAGTCAGCGCACGGCTATACGGGGGTAAAGGACAAGGACCAGTCAGCGCACAGCTATACGAGGACAAGGACCAGTCAGCGCACGGCTATACGGGGGTAAAGGACAAGGACCAGTCAGCGCACAGCTATAGGGGGATAGGACAAGGACCAGTCAGCGCACAGCTATAGGGGGATAGGACAAGGACCAGTCAGCGCACAGCTATAGGGGGATAGGACAAGGACCAGTCAGCGCACAGCTATAGGGGGATAGGACAAGGACCAGTCAGCGCACAGCTATAGGGGGATAGGACAAGGACCAGTCAGCGCACAGCTATAGGGGGATAGGACAAGGACCAGTCAGCGCACAGCTATAGGGGGATAGGACAAGGACCAGTCAGCGCACAGCTATAGGGGGATAGGACAAGGACCAGTCAGCGCACAGCTATAGGGGGATAGGACAAGGACCAGTCAGCGCACAGCTATAGGGGGATAGGACAAGGACCAGTCAGCGCACAGCTATAGGGGGATAGGACAAGGACCAGTCAGCGCACAGCTATAGGGGGATAGGACAAGGACCAGTCAGCGCACAGCTATAGGGGGATAGGACAAGGACCAGTCAGCGCACAGCTATAGGGGGATAGGACAAGGACCAGTCAGCGCACAGCTATAGGGGGATAGGACAAGGACCAGTCAGCGCACAGCTATAGGGGGATAGGACAAGGACCAGTCAGCGCACAGCTATAGGGGGATAGGACAAGGACCAGTCAGCGCACAGCTATAGGGGGATAGGACAAGGACCAGTCAGCGCACAGCTATAGGGGGATAGGACAAGGACCAGTCAGCGCACAGCTATAGGGGGATAGGACAAGGACCAGTCAGCGCACAGCTATAGGGGGATAGGACAAGGACCAGTCAGCGCACAGCTATAGGGGGATAGGACAAGGACCAGTCAGCGCACAGCTATAGGGGGATAGGACAAGGACCAGTCAGCGCACAGCTATAGGGGGATAGGACAAGGACCAGTCAGCGCACAGCTATAGGGGGATAGGACAAGGACCAGTCAGCGCACAGCTATAGGGGGATAGGACAAGGACCAGTCAGCGCACAGCTATAGGGGGATAGGACAAGGACCAGTCAGCGCACAGCTATAGGGGGATAGGACAAGGACCAGTCAGCGCACAGCTATAGGGGGATAGGACAAGGACCAGTCAGCGCACAGCTATAGGGGGATAGGACAAGGACCAGTCAGCGCACAGCTATAGGGGGATAGGACAAGGACCAGTCAGCGCACAGCTATAGGGGGATAGGACAAGGACCAGTCAGCGCACAGCTATAGGGGGATAGGACAAGGACCAGTCAGCGCACAGCTATAGGGGGATAGGACAAGGACCAGTCAGCGCACAGCTATAGGGGGATAGGACAAGGACCAGTCAGCGCACAGCTATAGGGGGATAGGACAAGGACCAGTCAGCGCACAGCTATAGGGGGATAGGACAAGGACCAGTCAGCGCACAGCTATAGGGGGATAGGACAAGGACCAGTCAGCGCACAGCTATAGGGGGATAGGACAAGGACCAGTCAGCGCACAGCTATAGGGGGATAGGACAAGGACCAGTCAGCGCACAGCTATAGGGGGATAGGACAAGGACCAGTCAGCGCACAGCTATAGGGGGATAGGACAAGGACCAGTCAGCGCACAGCTATAGGGGGATAGGACAAGGACCAGTCAGCGCACAGCTATAGGGGGATAGGACAAGGACCAGTCAGCGCACAGCTATAGGGGGATAGGACAAGGACCAGTCAGCGCACAGCTATAGGGGGATAGGACAAGGACCAGTCAGCGCACAGCTATAGGGGGATAGGACAAGGACCAGTCAGCGCACAGCTATAGGGGGATAGGACAAGGACCAGTCAGCGCACAGCTATAGGGGGATAGGACAAGGACCAGTCAGCGCACAGCTATAGGGGGATAGGACAAGGACCAGTCAGCGCACAGCTATAGGGGGATAGGACAAGGACCAGTCAGCGCACAGCTATAGGGGGATAGGACAAGGACCAGTCAGCGCACAGCTATAGGGGGATAGGACAAGGACCAGTCAGCGCACAGCTATAGGGGGATAGGACAAGGACCAGTCAGCGCACAGCTATAGGGGGACAGGACAAGGACCAGTCAGTGTGCACTTAGCTGGATATATTGGTCTGGCTCAGCATGTTACCTGTGACTCTGCCAGATATCCGGCATCAGATCCCTGCTCCAAACCGGTCTGCACCACCTGAGAGAGAACATGGAAGCAGTTACATCATCTGTAAACTATGCGTCTACGATACACATGTACAACTGAAATAGATGTAAAATAATACAACGTGACTTTATTTAACCCCTTCATGACTGAGGCCCTTTTTTCCATTTTTGCACCCATGTTAAATTCCACATTTTAGGCCTGAAAATGACGTAAAACCCCCCAACAAGCGGCCCCTTCTTCGGGACGCAGAAGCGCTCTGGAGACAGGTAAGTCGCCAGGATCGCTTCTGTTGTAAAGCCGACAGTCGGCTCTACAAGTTTAAACAGAGTCCCGGCGGCAAAAGTCACCGGGAGTCTGTTTAAACAGCCCCGATGCTGGCGACGTACACTGTACGTCGTCAGTCACGAAGGGGTTAAATGAAAATTTTCACATATGACTAGAATATAAATAATTGATTGAAGCAATGTGGTCGTTTTGGCGGGGGCCATGTGGGGGCCAATGTGTCGCTTTCTCTGTAAAGCACCCGGATCATGTTATAAGACGGACACCAGATTAGAGTACAGAACCTATCAGAGATCTCTTCCTGATGGCCGTGTAGTTCACCCCCCTTTCCTTCTCACCGACTAAAGAGTGCAATGCCGCAAAGAACATGGTGAGGGCAGCAGGAATAGGTGGACGAGACCACGAAGAGAACTGACACTTTGCTCTATTCCAGCCTCTCAAACATTTTTATTCCAGATGGAAACTAATGTTGAAGTCCCAGAAAACCCCTCCAGTGGCCAGTAGAAAGCTTGCCCTCCCTGCTTACAGCGGTGGCCAGTGGGAAGCATGCCCCCACCCCTGCTTACAGCGGCGCCAGTGGGAAGCATGCCCCCACCCCTGCTTACAGCGGTGGCCCGTGGGAAGCTTGCCCTCTGCTTAGAGCGGTGGCCCGTGGGAAGCTTG